ATCCGGTGAGCGTTTATCCAACTCGGATGACAGCGTAATTTGATAGGCTTTCAGAACAGCCGGATTCACCAGTCTGCCGGTGTCAATGCACTCACAACATCGTCGCGGGCGTCCGCCAAAGCGCATCCGCAGGTCAGCACTATAAGTGCATGATCGGTGTCAACACCTGTGCTCCAAATCGAGCGACAGTTCTGGACACAGCCTCTCCAGCGGTAACTGATAGCAATGTGATCGATTTGCGTCCATAACTGGTTCGAGGCTGGTGGGCGCCAAGTCACCCTCCGGGGGGTGCTGTTTCGGAAATTAGTTCTCGCAATAAATAAGCGAGCATCCTTACACAAATGAAGTAACCGCTCACCGTTATCGTTACGGGAGCCTATACCATGTTGGCTGCCCAGATGCAGCTCATCTGTGGACAACTTTCCAACTTGAGCGTTCAGATCCCCAGCCAGCACTACAGTGTCCGAGCTTCTTCTGTGGCGAAGGAGTTCGTTCAGTTGGCAATAGAAGTCGTCTTTTACCGAGTCATCGCTACAGTTTGTGGGTGCATAGGCAGCGACAACGAATAGACACCTGTTAGTCCCACGCGACTTCGAAGCTTTGAACGAGCCAGCCAATCGGACCGCACACAGCCGGCTACTGATTGGAATCCAATCAACCAGAGCAGCTTCAGCCCGGGGACTCAGGGCAATACCAACACCGGCTTGGCAGGTGCTCGAAGCTGCATCGCCACCGGATAGGCGCAATGAGAAAGTGTTGCTAGTGTCATCTGAAGAGGGTCGCAGAGTGAGTGCAGAGCTCGAGTCTTGCAGGCGGGTCTCCGATAAGCAGCAGATATCGATCGAGAGGGCCTCCAATGTTCGGGCAAGTGCTGCCTGTTGACCGATCTGAAGCAATGTGCGAACATTGAGGCATGCCAGTCTGAAGGAGGATCGAGGGCTCCAAATGGAAGCCGATGAATTGGAATGGACCGCTTGCTTGGACATGGGCCTGTTGACAGGGGAGGAATGACGCTCTGCGTTCACCTGTGCGTTGAAACTAAAAGACAAGCGACTATTGAAGCAAGGTGGGGAGGGCCGAGAATTGGGGGTTGAAAACAGGGGGGATAAAAGTAAAGCTGGAACGGGACGATAAGGGAGAAAAAGCGCAAGGGGAATAAGAAGATGGGAAGGCTTGAGCAGTAGCATCCACACCCGTATCCACCCTGCTCGATGCAGCAGATAGGGCACTGTTGTTTACCCTCTGCGGTGGCCAGAGCATCAGAGATTTGTTTGGGGAAGGATTCATTGTATTGCGTGGGCAGGATAATGTCAGGTTGCCCAGGCCTAGACAGGAGAACGATTAGGGTTCTCAACCAAAGCCTTTGGTTCAGAAACCTGTCCGCAAGGCAGTGGGTTTGGCACTGGACTACAAGGAGTCCGTTTTAAGGAATAAGGAGCCACCCTCATTCCAACCCCCAACCTGGAGGACAAGGAGGCTGAGTTTGTCTGGCCTCTAACCATTGACCAATCTGGTATGAGTGGCTCTGAAGGTGCAAAAGCACCACCCAGTATAGCTCAATGGATCACTGAGGCACACAAACCATCGCACCACGGTAAGGTCCAGCCTCATTACGATGGTGGGACCGTAATGCCTAAGAATAAAGGAGGAAACCGCCAGGACCCAGTGGAATTTCGCCAGATTTGCTTAATTTCCATCCTCTGTAATTTCCTGAAAAATATCATCAGACGCGTTCTATGAAAGCATTGCAAGGGAACTAACTAACTGTTGCCGTTGTGTATAAAGCTAGCCGGGGATTAACCTGAAGCCTCCTGGAAGGGATTCTTCGCCTACCGGTGCATCGCCTTGGCTGTAGTGTTCTTGATTCGAATTCCGTACTCTGCGGTCTGGTATTATTCGTCTGATGACAGGGTTCTTCTACTGGCTCTGTAGGCAAGTTGAAGCTGTCTGTCAACAGGTCAAATGGAAGCTTGGCGGACTCTATTGCTTGTGGCTGGCACATTGTTGTTCGCAGTTGGTTTGCATGGCGTACCCATACCTGCGTTCCAACCAGCACGTCGTAAATGACGCTTCCGCGCTTGCACTGGATCGTTCCTGGCGTCCATTTTGCGTGTCCACCCCGATAATCACGCACAAGTACTGGCTGACCCGGTGTAAACGAACGTTGCTTGGCACCAAACCGCCGATTAAAATCACGTTCCATCTTTAGGTTCCTTTCACCAGCTATGGACTCTGAGGATGGCCGAACTGCATTATATGGCATGCGAAGTTTTCTCTTCATCATTGCCTCTGCTGGTGATATTCCACCCGGCGTTTGTGGATTTTGTGTAGATCGGTACAGAAATAGGAAGCGGTCCTACCGAAGGAAGAATTTCAGAAAACCTGATGCAGAATCACTATCGGTGATTGCTACGTTTCACAGCGATTCTAAAACACTCCGCCGATTTATCACTGTGCTTATCAACGGAATCCCAACCCGGCTGCAGTTCGATACGGCATCAGATATAACGATCATTTCCAAGAACACTTGGAAGCACATAAAGAAGCCGAAAATGATTGATTCCAACAAAATCGCTCACAATGCATCCGGTGGAGTGCTGAAGTTGGTCGGAGAAATAAATTGCAAAATTGCATTCAACGGAGTGGAAAAGGCCGGAACCTGCTACTTGTCTGATCGACCGCACGGGGTAGGCGATTCTCTCTAGCCCAGCTTTCATTCACCATTATATACTTTTCCTTTTTTCTTTTATGTTTTTATCTGAATCCCGGATAAGACGCGTTCTATGAAAGCATTGCAAGGGAACTAACATCACTTCCTCCACCAAGTATGGTTTCTAAATGGATCGTTCCTGCTCCACCAACCTGCTATTGACAAGCGAGATGTGGGCAAGATCAGCTGATGCCGGAGAACGCATACAGGAACCTTAGTACTTTTCGGCAAAGCTTGTGGCAAGGTCTTTCACTAGTGACTACTCCGTAAGCTCATAGAACTTAGCGACACAGACAGCCTTCAGCCGTGTTTATCGCGTTCTTAGATGGTTAGACCTTGCAAGTGAGATGCAACGAAACGTTTTCCAAGCCAGAGTTGGTAACCAGTGGGGTTCTAAAGTAACCTGTACTTTGAACTTAACGCTTCAAACTTTATAGCAATGATCCTCCTGCTACACTCCAAACGGAATGCTTGATCTACGCCGGCGACCTCAAGCCGTGTTTTTGACTGTCTGACCTTCACGCATCTGATAAACTACAGTTGGCCCATTGCTCTCTTGTGCGACTGCTCCATCCAGTGGGGCCAACCAATTAACCACGAAATGTTTGCTCCTAACGATTAGGGCTTCTAAGCCACTTGGAACCCGTCACGTTGGTTGGTTGCCTACCAAGTACTGCGCTCAGGAGAAAGCGCTAGGCGTGTTACTAGCGCGTGACCTGAAAACGACGCGTGCGAACTGTGGGGGTGCTGCTACAAACAAGATGGGTTGTGGGGTGCAAAGAGTTTTCATAGGAATGATAGAGCAGGTCTTCATGACTTTGTGCCCTTGCGCTGTGCGACCAATTCCAGCGTACGGACTGACAGCCACCTTTCTACCTTCGAAGCATACATTCGCTTTAGGCGAAAAGGTCCAAAAAAGTGACGCTAACTTCGCTGCCGGGCTTCTTGATCTTCCATACTTACACTGGCTTCAGGGGCTACATCTATTCTTCTTGGAATTTCATCGATTTCGCGGAAACCTCAACTATATGGGTCGCATATTAAGTGGGAAGCTAGGGAACGTGATACAGCAACCATTTCAGTCCAGCCTAAATGGCTCGATACAATTCCACAAATGGAAAATATACACCCCGAGGAGGATCAGCGTCTACACCACGGTCGCTCTATCCACTGGTACTAAGTGACCAGGATGGCCTAGACTAGTATTGATGTACTCAACGAGGAAACTTGCATGCGAAGCACATGCACCCACCAAGTTAATGTTAGTTCAAGTCCAGGTGGGAATAAAACGATAAGATTAGACCGCGTGGGTTCCTTCTTCGTCGCTTCGTTGACCAAGGAGTTGGCAGACGTTGAAATAAAGATGGACCTAAAACCAAGACCTCAACACACCCTGTCCAACCAATTAATGCCCACATATTCTGTCCACCAAGTCCCTGCTGGGTCGGTTATGTGAATTAAGAAGCGCGAAAGTAAACTCAGCATGCAAGAAGAGAAATAGTACAGAGCTAGGCAAATAGAATACTAAGATATATGAATCATTATAAAGAACTAAAAGCTGAAGGTGCGTCAGTTAGAAAAAGGACAGTTTGCTTCTGACACCCAAGAACAAGGAACTGACGCTCAAAACCCTTAGCCGTAGGTGCCCTAACGACATGATCTGGAAGCGATTCCAACGACCTATAACTCGGCGCGACAGACCAGCTTCTGTCCTAAGCCTATTAAATCATGAGTTATAAAGTTACAGTTGGTGAACGCCGGGATTAGGTAACTTATCGGGATTAAAAAGCTCGGAAAAGCCTGGGCCGATCTTACTCGTCAAAATACGACAAGTGAGAATCAGGTCACATCTTATATTTTGGAAGAGCATGGTGTTATCCTGAAATTCAGCAAGCGTCCAGATACGTCTATACCCGTAGACCATACACCAACCGAGTGCCTGCTCGGAATACCCTCACCAAATCCATTTAGTCGTGGATAATACATGGTGAACATGTATTTATTCAATATTCCAGCATGGGCCAGATGAACGTGGAACGTTTTGTCTTACAGCGCCTGCTTCGGTTCCAGGAGGACTAGGGGGCCTCAACAACATGCGTGCTCTATTGTTGAACTGGAAATGATGGGGCTGACATGGGGCCACCCTTTGCTCTCCTCAAATCAAGCAAAATTGTCGACTGTTGATGCAGACACATGGTAAGCAAACCTATTTTCGATACAATATATTTATTGAAACACGTTATTTTTTACCTACTACGTATTTGTTGTTAATACTTATTTTATTCATTACGCAGCGCGCTTTGTACAAACCTACAAGCGTCCTTCACATACTTTGATGACCTTGCGGTTTTACAAAAATGCAGTGGCTTCTCGCGTTTGCCGTAATCATCCAAGCACTTACGATAACCTCTGAGTTACAATCACAAAGTAAGAAGTAGACTGTTCCTAATAATTCAATAGCAAAGATACAATGGGTTAAAATAGGAGACTCCGTCAGTGTCTGCTGCAGCTTTTCCTTGAAAGGTTAGTTCATAGAGATGCGTGTAAGAGTTGTTTTTGTGTTATTTATATTCCTTAGTCTTTTAAAAGCCTTGTACGAAACTATTTTGTAACTGATTATTATACATGCACTACAGGTTAATTTTAAATTACTTTTACCAACGCATCCATCATTGTGAATTGTCGCGCGGTGTTAAAAACAGGTTATTGATAAATAGCCTGAGTAGTTATTGGAAGATGTTGATTTTATTAACTAGCAAATGATGGTTAACATTTGTTTATGATTGCTTGGTTTGTACATGGTTTCGCATCCTAACTGGCAGTATCGATAACATGGGTGGCAGGGAGTGCAATGTACAATTGCAACACTTACTTAGTTTCATATAGCCTAAAGAGGAAACCTAAGTACTGTAACTAATGGTCTGTGATACCTGATTTTTTTGTAATGTCTACGACAACGATTTACTGGACTGGTCATGATGCATATTTAAATCCACATCCATACTGTTGAAAGGGGTAAAATTTAAAGTTAAATTCCTGCAGGCAGCTAGTCGAGCTAGTTGAAAAACTGAAAACATACTTGACAGATTTACTTTATTTCGCGGGTCTGTAGTATAACTAATTATTTTTCAATATTTCTGATATCGTACGTAAATCGGTGTACTATATGGTTTGGCGACTACAAGCCCCACTTCTGCTTAATTATATATGAATCTTACGAGTGCTTTTGAAATGAGTTATTAGGCAATTTATCTACGAGCTGCCTCGGAAGTCCTTGAGCGTATATCAAACTGTACTAATGTATGTTATTAATGTGTTATATTAAGCATGTTCTCATCTCCTAACCAATGCCACTATTAGCTTTTAGTTTAAATAACGGGGAAATGTAAAATGTAAGTGGCTCAAACAACAGTTGAAAATGAGTATTATCACTTTAACTAAAACAAGTCATGTGCGACGCAGTTAACCAACTGCAGAATTGCGTCTTTGCATTATATATATATATATATATTGCTCCATCGTTTCTACCCAAATTACGCATCTGACGATTAAAATATGTAGCGGTTAACGCCCTAAACAAGTTGGTCGAACATTAGTTTCAAAAGCCTGTAACTTACTAATGTGTAAGCTTTTTCTGAGTGTTATGGTACAAACGGATTTAGCGCAGTTTAGTAGTTCGTTTGGTAAGTACAGACCATATAACGCTTCAATACTCAAGCGACGTGTTAATAATTTCTGCAATGGTTAAAGCAGGATGACGGCTTATGGAAATACTTTGACATAGCATTTAGGACGAGCGCAAACTCAACAGACACTAAGAATACCGAAGATAAATTATCTCTGACACTAATCTAATACTAATTTGCTGGCTTTTTCCTATTTTTGTTTCTCACCTATTGGGGCTTCTTAAAACCACAGAGGATCTGACGCAGCTTAACAGTTTTATTAAAAAATACAACAGTTTTTACTTAAATGATTAGTAAATTTACTACAATTTGAAAAACTCTTACTTCGAGATTCTGTGGTTTCTTAAGGACTAAGGCTTAATATATTGAACAAAAACTTGACAGATTTAACGTACGATATGTGGAATTCACTAGTCGCGAAATGTTAAGCGTTGAAGAATATGCATACATTGCAAATAGTAAAGTAGTTTGCTACCTTTTAGTTCAAATTTAGAGTGTGATTACCTTAAAACTCTTAGAAAGTTCATAATATTCTACAGCACAACTTTGCAACTAAATATTTAGTTCTCGATTCTAAACTTCCTATGTATAAAAAATTAAACTGTATGTTACTAATAAAAAGATATCATTAAAGCAAACGTTTACATCCAACCCGCCTACGGTAGGCGATGGAGCTGACACGGGAGGCGATTGAGCTGACAAAGGATTATTCTTTCTGCTCTCTACATTCCAATGTTCCAATGTTCTCTCTAAACCGTGATGTAGAGACCTACTAATGAGTGCTACTTTATGTGCACTGAAAAGTAAGCCGTTTACAATGAGGTCATGTTTGGTCACTTTTCTATTCTCTGGTTACTAGAATGCAAACATCACAGTTGTACTTATTCTTTTTACTATAAGAAACGAAAAGTTGCTAATGGTGAAACATAGCTGAGTATGGTATGTTCTTCGTAGAAAGGTACAACACTTAGTACGGACAGAATAAGACAGGAGCGCATTTGGATTTGTACATCCATTGTACTAAAAAGACTCGCTGTTCATCGGTTTGGGAGATCTTTCAAAATCAATCCAATAAGACGATATGCACCGGGCCAAGCATATCTATTCGCTTTGTTATATCTTATCTCTACTGCAGACTGAAATCTACTATGCATGGTCTTGTCTAGCGGTACCTGTTATGATAGATGTTTGACGAGCTTCTGCAGAAATCGGCCCAATTAACATAAAAGTTTAAACCTCGGAAACGCAATTGTTTTTTTTCTTGCTGCACCTAACTGAAGCTGGTGTAAGTTCTGTACATACTATCAAACCATCTGAGTTCTAATGTTTATCTGTTTTAACTTAGGTTGAACTGAGTATAAAGTTGCAACCGTCGCAGTATCTTATACTTAAAGCATTCAAAAATCACTCATCATCTACAAGTGGCTTAGTTAACCTAGACTCACTAACTTAGTCAGAAGAAGCTTGTTATGATAATTTTGTTAATGCTATTGCATGCTGTATCTTGCCGCTTCTATTTTTTGTAATTTATATACGCTTGGATCACGATTCTTTTCCGTACGGCTGATATTATCCGGTCCAGACTCAGAAATCTATACGCGTGCATTTGCAGGAGGACCAAAGCTGGCTGTGGCATACTTGCCTTGTTATCTCATACAAAAAGCTTTATACTGTACGTGGTGATGCAAAAGCGGTCCTTTTTGCCAGCCATTACTCCTACGTCTACTAGCTGGAAGCTCAAACTACCAACACATATGGGTCTAAACGTTTTCATAGTCTGCATCAGCTCGAACTAACTGCGGAAACTATTATGATACTTCCACAACAGCTGCATCCATACTCCCTACCTGGCCGTGACGGCCTTGATTCCCTGTCTCTCAAGACATTGGCTTACTAGGTGGCTGTATCTATTAGCCAAGTTTTCCAAGTCGGTTTTAGGGCCCTCGCTTTTCGCAATTTATGTCAACGGCCTACCCCAGAAGCTTAAAGTACTGTCGCTATTGTTTGCTTTTGACCTTAAGCTCTGAAATATTGTGAATACTCCTGGGGGCTCTGAGACGATTCAGTGTGCTTGGATAGGCTTTGGGATTTGTCAACCTTATGGTTGGTGTCTATAAATCAGGCAAAATGTTCTGTCCTCTACATTGGAGGTGCTAGTCTCCCCACGCACTATGTAGTTGGTAGAAATGAAATCTCTGTTGTCACTTGGCAGGTTGATCTAGGTATCACTCATACCTCATTGCTTCATTCTGATGCCAATTGGAGGAGAACTGCTTGTAGAGGGTTCCGTGTGATGTAGTTTATTCGATGCTCCTTTGGTGTCCTAACCGACGCTATTTATGTGAAGCTGTCCTCAGCTTTTGTGTGACCCCACTTAGCATACTGTATACAGGCTTATCCACCTTGCCTTGTAAGAGACGAAATGGAACTGGAGAGGATTTTGCGAGTGGGTACAAGGTTAGTGCAAGGATTGCGGGGCAAACGTATCACGAACGCTTGCTTAGCTTTGGTATGTACTCAATGCACTACCGCAGAATTATAGGGTATTTGATCCTCACTTACCGTACCTTAACGGTTAAGATCGGTCCAGACTTGTCCTGGTTATTTAGTCTCGCCAAGCTGCCTAGTCTCCAAGGTCACCCGTTGAAGCTACAAAAACTGCGTTCTGACCGGGTAATGATGGAAACTTGCTTGTCGCGCCGGGTTATTGAATGTTGGAACTCGCTTCCGGAGCACGTCGTTAAAGCGTCTATGGTTGAGGGGTTTGAGCGTCAGTTAGATGCTCTTAGGTGGCAGTACCAAACCTTGTCCTTCTCCTAACCGACTTGTGTCTTCAACGTTCCGTTCGCCTTTTTAATTTTCTTCTCATACCTTGATATTATTATTATTATTTAGCTGACATTCCTCCTCTTGTTTGCTTAGGTTACCTTTCACTCTCGCACCTCACATAAAGCAACCTGGCAGGAACTGATGTGCATGACATGTGGGCAGTATTTGGTTGGACAGCGTGTGATGCGGTCTCTGTTTTAGGCTTTTCAACATCACAAGCAGATTTATTAATTCCAGATCCAACGACCCGCAAAAGAAGGGACATTTACGGGATTATCCTATCGTTTCGGTCCAAACTTAACTGGAGAACATTTTTTCTTACAAATGGTCGTCTACCCATCAACTAGAAAACAGGTACTGGGATACTCGAGTACGAAGGTGGGAACCCTCACGATCCAGTAACTCATCGTCCTATCTGCTTGACAACAAACACTTGTAAGATTATGATAAATTAAACATTACATCCACTACATAACATGGTTATTAGAAGGGACGCTCTTGCGCCACTAACCTGCTAGTTGCGAAAGAAACTGGACAAGATCATTCGATACCGGTCAACGGTTTGATATGGTTTTCGACCATTTTTCAAAGTATTCGACACTGTTCCACATCAACGGTAGCCTCTTCAAAATTGATATCACCTGTTACCTCTGATTCACGAATTTTCTGGACGGACAAACTATGCAAGTGAAGACAAACAGGACAAATTCCCGGCCACTGCACATGACCAATGGGGTTCCGCAAGTTTCCGTATTTTTGCCTGAACTTTTCAAGGTGTTCATTTATGACCTTCCCGCAACACTTCAAAATGAATGTCTAATCCATACTAATGACCTCAAGCAGTGGTTTGAAAAACCCGACTTTGCTGCAGCTGACAGACTACAAAATTTGCTAGCCCTACTGCATGAATGGTCCAACAAATGACATTTAACCATCAGTTATTAAAAATTTTACGTTCTGAGGTCTGATCCACTCTATATCTACCATATTGGTGGCTTCCTTCTCAAG